ACCTAAGACCACGTGTGTGGCAAGACAATAAACAAAACGTCTGGCAGAAGATTCTGAGATGATAATGAAAGGCTCTGTTCCTCACCCCATCAGCCCATGCCTGTCACCCATGGTGGCTCCTGTGTGGAACACGACCTGCTGCTGTGGAAGTCTCACCTCCCGTCTGTGAAGTGAATACGACACGTTAAAAAATGAGACTCGCTTCCAGGTGTGTACTCGACAATGAGGTGCACGTATGTTCACTGAGATCACCTGACGGAATATTCACAGCAGCACAGTTTGGAATAGCCCCAAACTGGAAGCAATCCAAATATCCATCAGTCGTGGCACGGATGAAGAAGTTGTGGTACACGAAAGAAGACCACGCAATCATGAGCACGAACCCACTGCCCATGTACACAGCATGCACGACTCTCAGCATCGTGGTGCTGAGGGAAGGATGCCAGACAGAGAAAAGCACATCTGAGCAATTCCATGAAAAAGGGAAAATTTCTTAAACAAATGATGTTGGAACACCTGGATAACCACATGGAAAAGAAGTAAACCTCAACCCCTACCTTACGCAGTACATAAAAATAAATGAAAAATAGATCATAGACCTATAGGTAAAACCTAAAACTACAAAGCTTCTAGAAACAAACATGTGAGAATAAATTCAATTTGGAGGTGAGCAAAGATTTTTTAGACAGGACACTAAAAGTACTGACCATAAAATTAAAAATTGATACATTGAACTTCATTGAAATTATGAACTTCTGCTCATAAAAAGACAAAGCAAAGGAAAGAGCTGGCCACACCCAGCTCCTAACTAGCTTCCCAGAGAAGAAGGGGACCAGAGAGAGGCAGGTGGCCATGAGAAAGGCGGAGCTGAAGGCAAGCGGCTGCGCTGTCAGAAGCCCGGGATCTCAGACCTGCCATTGTCAGAGCACAGGACTGATGACACACACCTCTCCTTGGGGGCAACTCTGAGGGTGGTGGGTGTACTCCTGTGTGAGACCCTTGCATTTCCAGAAAGTCAATCCACTGACGCTCTACTGATTCATGACAGCTCTGAGTCTTAAATAGCTAGTGCTTTAAACTGTAATAAACCGGATTTCTGTGCAGAACAGCACTCAGCTCCTCGATTTGGAGAAAGAAGCAGACACCTGTAAAAGTTCACATTTGAAGTTTTACTTTTAAAGTGAACTGTTGCAGGGATTGATTCTGGGAGACCTTCCCACCAGAGCCAATCACCCTTGGGTTAATAGGGTGGGTAGTTAGGGGAGAGGGCTCGGCCAAGTGGCTTAAAGCCATCCTAAGCAGACAAGGACTGAAAACAGCTTAGAGATTTCAGCCACGTGGAGATGGAGGGGTGGATGCCCCATCAGGCTAGGATGTGTGTGGTGCAATGAGGAAATGGACACAGAATTTTCAAGAAGTTTGGCTAAGAAGAAAAAGAAATAGGGTGCCAAGTGGAGGGGGACATGGGGTCAAAGGAGGTGTTTTTGTTTTAAGGTTAGTACAAGCATGTTTCAGAGTGGACAGGAAGGAAGTATGACAGATGCTTTAAAGCATCTGATGGGGCAGGGGAGGGGGCGGTGGAATCCTCCTTAGAAGGTGGATGAGCTGGAAAGGAGAGAAAAGACACCCCTGAAGCGAAGGGGGGGCACCGTCACCAGACGGGCCACTGCTGGTTGGAGGCAGGATCTGCTGGCAGGCAGAAGGGTGTTCTCACAGGATGGTTTCCAGAATCTCCATGAAGAGGCGAGCTCAGCTGCTGAGAGGGAGGGGGAATCCTGGAGAGGGCAGGAGGTGGCTATCGGAGTGCGGACAGAGTTGGCTAGAGTAGCAGTTCTGGAACTGGAGTGTACAAATAATCACCAAGAACTTGGTACAACACAGAACATTCCCAGAGTTTGCATTTCTACAAGTTCCCAGGTGCTGCTGGTACAGCTGGTCGGGGTCACTGCTCTGAGAATGACTGGCTAGAGAAGCCACACCCATCCCACTGTGGAGCTCAAGGGACACCCTCCACATGGACTGCCCTGGGATTGCTCCACTGAGGGTCCCAGAGGGAGGGAGCATGGTGATTCCAAAGGACATGATGGTGTCATTTGCCCCAGCTGAACTTAGCAGGCCCTGAGCAGGTCCTGGAAGCAGAGCAGTGGGCCACAGAAGCTCTGCCAATTTGGGTGCAATGAAAGGTCAGAAGGACAAGGAGGATTTGAGCACTGGCAAGAGAGGGTTTGTAATGCAGGGCCAAGGGCTTCCAGCTCAGACATACTCTCCTCCTCTACCAGTGTGCCTTCTCGTTTCCCTGCCATCTGTCACACCCTGTCTGTCTTTCCTATTCCCACCCAAATCTGCTGTCTTCCGTGGGGCCTCAGCTGCACCGCCACCCCAGCTCACCCTGCTGTCCTTTCCTAAGCCACAAGACCCGGTGTGTGACAATGAACCTCACAGTGCCTCCAGGAGCCCCAGGCGTTATTGACCGGCCGTGCTGCATTCCATCCAATCTAAGATGCCGCCACTTGTAAGACAACATACTTTAGGATCACAGTGCCTCCAGGAGCCCCAGGCGTTATTGACCGGCCGGCCGTGCTGCATTCCATCCAATCTAAGATGCCGCCACTTGTAAGACAACATACTTTAGGTGCATTAAGAAAGAAAACTCACTGCCAATTATAATTGTAAAAGATATCTTGATTTCAAAAGATGTTAAAATACCAAAAAACGTGTATCTTACAATCTATGGAATTTGGATTTTTGAGCATCTACCAGAGCAGCAGTTCTGAAAGTATGATCCAAAGACCCTAGTGGTCCCCAAGACACATTCAGGGGGTCTGCAAGGTCAAAAGTATTTTTGCAATAATACTGAGATATTATTTGCCTTTTTCATTCCCATTCTCTCATTAGCATACAGTGGAATTTTCCAGAGGCCACACATGTGATGACATTGCTTTGATGGCCATTGGAATAATTACTTGTGTTCTAAAATCTTATGAGTTCTAATTTCTAATATAGGAAATGTTGATAGACATAACCCACATAAACAAAAGCTCTTTGGGGTCCTGAGACCAGAAAGTTTAGGAATCACTGCACTGGGATGTGTGTCCAGCACTTGGCTGGCACGGGGCCCATGGTCAAGGATAAGGAGAGGCCCAAGGCAGGTGTACACAGTGCTGAGGGTGCACAGGCAAAGGGACTTGCCCAGGCCAGTCAGGGAAGGCCTTCCTGAGGAAGGGGGTGCCCGCCTGCCAACCTCGGGCACGTGGGTGCTTCAGACAGGAGGTCCTGTCTTGTTGACTGAAGATCTGCCCCATACTAGATCTGAAACCCTGGGTTAAGTCATGCTTATCTCTGTCACTAACATGAGGTTAATGCATAGGTCACAGAGGCTGTGATGAAAATTAAAGGATTCAGTGCATGGGAAAGAATTCAGCAGACAGAAGGCTTAACATGATCAAATCCTTGGTTGCTGGGTGGGGTCTTGGGCGTTTCTGTTTTCTGCCACAGAGCTTAACACAATGCTTGGCACACAGGGGTGCTTGGAAAACACAAGCTGAGTGGAGAAATGAATGTTGGGGGGCACTGACCTGATCAAGGCCTGGGAGCTTGGCTTCTCCAAACACCAAGATTCACATAGGAGCTTGAGATGCTGATTAATGATAACCTCCTCCCTGGCTCTGGCCCAAACCAAATTCCTCCTCATTTCCAAACCATCTTCTTTCATCTGCCCATTCCCTCCCCCATCCCCAGGCTAGTGACCTTAGCATCAGTTAGACGTTTTACTTCTCGACCTGTCTGTCCTCAAGGCTGCCAAGTTCATCCAAGATCTGAGCCAAGATGTTTGGGTCTGGGAATGGGCACGGAGGGTCCAAGGCCTCCGCAGAGGCTCTGACAGGAGGAGGGGCAGTGGAGGACCGACTGTCCTCAACAAGCTGGCAGGTCCCCTGTTTCCTCCATCAGTCCACAGCAGAACCAAAGCTGGGTGTTTAGCCCAACGCTGTGCTGGGTTGCTGGCTCTGTCCCCCGCCCAGCCTGGGCCAGGGACAGTGAGGAAAGGACCAGGGCTTTGGTGCAAAGAGACGCCCCAGGAACAGAAGCCCTGCTCCTCCCCAATATCTGGGATGCTTTGCAGGGCAGTGTTGACTGGAACCCAAGGTTCGACACCTGTCCTAGGGCTCTTGTCCCCACACTCCCCGCGGTCCTCCCGGATGGGAGGGAGACGGGCCCGCAGGGCTGGCCACTCATAACAGGCGGCAGCTAACTCGAGGGAGTCAGAGGGCAGGGGCTGCCGTCCTCTCTGCTCCTGCGGCTTCGGCTGCACCCCAGGGGCCCTCGGGAAGCTTTTGCAGGAAGGAAGAATGAGGAAGAAGCACGGTGGAGAGTGACGGAGGCGTGGATGGGTCCAGACGGCCGGATGGAGGCCAGCAGTCGAAGCCCCCTCCCCCACCAAGGACGGTCCAAGGAGGGGGCCGTGGGCAGGTACAGTGGGCTGAAACGTTTCCCAAGAGGAGGCTCTGAAGGGAGGCAGGGGACGTGGGGAACTTGGCTAGAAGCTACACGTGTCTGGCAAACACTGTTAACAGAGCCTTGCAGGGATGCTGGTCGTAGAGAGGGAGCGGGAAGGCATCCGGCTGCGAGGGGACTGAGTTCATGCGTGACAACTGAATGAATGAATGAACGAACGAACGAATGAATGAATGAATGACCAGAGCGCGCGGGCGGGCGGTGCAGGGGACCCGGGTCCCCCGC